GATTTGAAACTGTCTCATTGCTATGTGTTTATCAATAAAACTGTAGGAAAAAAAACTAAAAAAAAAAAAAAAGAATACATACAGTGCCGGCCAGATAGCTCAGCGGACTAAAGTGCTTATATAGGCAGAGCGCAGCAGCCAGGGTTCAATTCCCGGCATGCCTTGTTGGCCCCGCCCCTCGGGTGCACTGAGACTGAGATTGAGACTGGGCATGGCAGTGTGTGCCTGTAATCCCAGCGTTTGGGAGGGAGAATCATTACGAGTCTGATCTATGTAGTGAGACTCTGTAGATCCCATACTAAATATACTTAAAAAAAGAATGCAACCAAAACACTAACAACAACAAAACTAACAAGTACATGAAAAACGATTAACATCACTAATCATCAGGGAGATGCAAGCAAAACCATGAGCAGAAACCACCTCACTCCCATTAGAAAGAAAAAGTTCTGGTGAAGATGTGAAGAAAAGGAAACCTTTATACACTGTTGATGAGATTGTAAATCAATACAGTCATTATGGAAAACAGAATGGAGATTATTCAAAATTAAAAATAAAATTAACATATAATCCAGTAGTCTAGTAGTGGATATATATATATATATATATATATATATATATATATAATCTGTATTTCCTAAGGCAATGACAATTTCTTTTTTAAAAAAATGTATTTAGTACAGGTTCTACAGGGCCTCACTACAGAGATCAGACTCATAGTGATCCTGCCGTTTTCGGTCTCCCAAGTGCTGGGATTATAGGCGCAGGGTACATTGCCATCTCAGTGTGCCCTGTGGGCGGGGCGGGCCCGGCACGCAGGAGATAGAACACAGGTCCCTGTGTCTGCCTAAGCAGGCCCTTTAATCTGCTGAGCTATCTGGTCAGGCAATGACAACTTCCAAGGCAATGAAATCAGTAAGTGGAGGAAACATCTGCACTGTCTTGTTTATTCCAGCATTGTTCTAAGTCCTAGAATCTATCAAAATGGTTAACAGAATCAGAATACTACCCTGGGAGTGGTAGAGCGCTTGCCCAGCTTATGCAAGGCCCTGGAGTGAATCTTTAGCAATGAAGGAAAAAAAAGAAATATTATTTAGTATGGTATTCAGTCATTTAAAATAAATGAAATTGTCAGTGCAGATAGGGATAAACTTGGAGCAGAATATGTTAGGTGAAATAAACCATACATAGAAAGCTAGACATTACATGATCTCGGTTGTATATAGATTCTAAAAAGTTTGTCTCACAGTTTGTACAGTAGAATAGTTGTTACCTGAGACTAGAGATTGGGAGAACCAGGGATGGGGAGGATGTGGCCAACAGGTAAATTCTGGTATTCCACTGCATAGCAGGGTGATTATGGTTAACAATTAAAGTAGTGTGTATTTCGCAATAGCTGCAAGAGAATTTTTTCCTTCCAAAGAAGTTATAAATGCATGAGGTGATGGATATGCTAAATACTCTCTCTTACACTATATATGTGTTGAAATCAAATTGTACTTCATAAATATGATGAAACATATGTCAAACATACAATATAATTATAAAATATACAATAAAATAAAGATTCCTTTACAATCATGGCCTTTAAAATTGCATACTTTTTATGATTGCTCTATAATTTAGCCAATCTACTATTTGGCAGAGAGTATTAAAGTAAATCTAATTTCCCCATTTATAAACAGCTTTGCTGCAGGCGTTAAGGCTCTGTAGTTTGACAATTGCATTGTAGAAAGTTTTGGGTACTTCCAGAGGCATTATAGGCAGACAGAATGCTTACCTTCAGGGGAGTCTAGTATCTTCCCGGATAGCAAAACTAAATTTTTTTTCTTAATTTTTTTTAAACTGTAGTCTTTGTAATTTGAAATACCTGTCTTATCCTGCCCATTAGTCATGCAGCCTAACTGGGACTGGGTTCCAGAAATCCCAAACAATCTCCTTCCTCCAGCCTCATTCCCGCCCCTTCCCCCTCCCCGCGCGCTTTCCCGCTCCGCGACCGGTCCTATGGCGAACGCCAAGAATTAATTAGGGGCGGGAATCTCGGAGCGCTTGTCAGGAGGTCGCCATATTTCTGTACGGCCCTGAGGCTGCTCGGCGGCCCGGCTGGAGAAGCGCTGGCCCGGCGGGGCCGCCCTTCGCTCGGCCGGTCGCACCCCTCCCGCGGGGGACAGGTGGCTGGAGCGCGCCCCGCCCCCGCCAGGCGGCCAGGGAAGCCAGGGACGCCCGATCCGGACGGCTGCGCTGCAGGCTGCAAGGGGCGGTGGGCGGGCGCCGCTTGGTGACGGCAGGGCGAGGAGTCCGGCAGCCGCAAACGGGTACCGTGGCCGCCAAGAAAATGCTCCTCTACCGAGGGGGTCCCGGGGTCCCTGGCACGCCGGGCAGCAGGCTGACGCGCCTGGGCAGCGGCCCGCAGGCCTTGGGGATCCGCCCGAGCGCGGTAGGTCTGGGGCCCGGGGTGGGGGCTCCCGGGAGGACGCGGCGGGCCGAGGCCTCATGCGGACGGGACCTTATCTCGCCCGCAGATGAGCCCCAGATACCTCCAGAGCAACTCCAGCAGCCACACGCGCCCCTTCAGTGCCATCGCGGAGCTGCTAGGTGAGTGGCGAGGGCGGCCCGGCCACGATCGCCCGAGGGACTGGTGCCAGCGTGGTGTGAGGCCGTCTAGACGCTAGGAATGCGAGGAGCCACACGGAGCAGGCGGTTGGGGTGCAACGAGGTGGGGGGCCGCCGGCCTGACCCCAGCTCCTCAGCATGGAGGGCTGTGGCTCTGGTCAGGAAAGATGTGCCGCGAATATTCCCATAGGACACAAGGTTTATCTGAAGAGCTAGGAGTCTGTAGGGTTTTTCTCTCCAGCTTGTGATGATCCTGGCACTTGGGGATTGTTTAGTTAATAGTCAAAAGGAGATACATAAAACATAGGACCCGAGGCAGCTGGGCACCAGTAGGGGCTGGCAACCAACAGAAAACTTCTAGTTACCAAAGGCGCCTTGCATACAACCAACTAGGGTCATCAGAAAGATCTGAAAAAGAGATTTCTTTAACTTTTGGGAGCAGAACATCTAGGAATGATGGAACATCTGTTAAGAGATGACACGAGTGCATTTGGCTCCCTGAACTGCGGTGGGCTGAGTCTGTGGTCCACGAGCGCCCTCACACTGCTGGAATCAATACTCAGGACCTGGAAACCTCGCAACCCTTTGCTTTTTGAAGTGTTTTCAGTTGATGCCATGAAGCCAAGTACACCAGTTTTTCAAGGAAAGTGCTAAATACGGCGTGAAAATGAGAAAAACAATCCTGCACTAAATGCAGCAGCATACAGAGTACATTATAAATGCTTCAAACTTTGAAAGAAGGGAAAAAGATTTGACTAGGTAGTACAGAAAACCTTGAAAGGAATGCAGCGCTCTCTCAGTAAGCCTCAGTCCCTTAAGCCATAGCGATGGCCATGACATGAAACTATTTTTTTAAAGTAAGCTTATTGGTACAATGTAGATATACATAGCGATCACATTCATCATTATGTGGATCCGTGCCCCTTCGTAGTATATCTTGATTCCTCTTTTTTTACCTATTCCTCTCCCCTGCCTTCAACCCCTCTTCCTCTCCTTATTTACCTTTTATCCTTTTTTTCTTTTCCTTTCCTCCTCCCCCTCCTTAGTTTCCTTTTCTTTTTGAACAGTTACTTTGTATTGTACAATATCTGTTATACATTTTGGTTCTTATTTATACTTCCAATTGATCACACCAGAGAAACAATTTGATGTTTGCGCATGTGTGTCTGATTTATTTCACTTATGTGTATGGCCTCAAGGTCCATCCATTTAGTTATAAATGTATGAAGTTTATCCTTTATGGCAGAGCAATACTTTATTGTATAAAAAGAAACCACATCTTTTTTACATATTCAATGGTTGGTGGGCATATGGGCTGTTTCCAGGATTTAGCTATTAAAAACTGTGCTGCTATAACATAGGTATGTATATATCACAGTGGTATGATGCTTTTAATTCTTCTGGGAAGATACCCAGAAGGGAAATAGTTGGGCTGATTAGGACCTCCAGTCCTAGTTTTTTCAGGAATCTCCACACTGATTTCCATAGTGATTGTACTAGTCTACACTACCACCAGCAGTGGAGAAGGGTTCGTTTTCCACCACAGCCCCTCCAGCATTTGTTATTGGTTGATTTCTTTTTTAAAAAAATAATTTTATTGAGAAACAAATAGCAATGAGACAGTTTCAAAACTGATTTGGTTGATTTCTTGATGATAGCCATTCTTTATGGCATAAGATGGTATCTCAATGTTTTAATTTGCATCTCTTGAAAGACAAGTGATGTTGAATATTTTTACTCACACACACACACACACACACACACACACACACACATATGTTTGTTTGTTTGGTTTTTTTGCTGGCTCAGCTTGCCCTGAGGGCGAGGCTGGCGTGGCATGTGGTACTGGAGATCGAATTGTGGTCCTCTGCGGCTCTCTAAGCTTGCCTAAACAGGCACTTTATTATTTTTTTCCATAATTTTATTGAGAAACAAATAGCAATGAGACAGTTTCAAATCAAATTGGTAGGACAGTTCCAATAATTAACACATTGCATACTGTCTTCCTAGTGGTTAATTGCTGTACAAGAGGCGGACTTGATATCCTATTTACAAACACCATTAGAACAAATCCCTCTATTCATTAAGAGAATATAACTATATATCCTAACCATTTTAAATACACAGATACAAAATGGACATTTATCTGTATCCCTTTTTTTTGTTTAGTTCCGTCGTTTGAATATTATAGGTGTGTAAACTCAGCAAAATATTCTAAAAGAGCTCAGGAGTCCATAATAGTATTGGGTCTTCCACTCACTGCCAATGTCAGAAATTATTGACCTGAGTCCCCTAGAGTTCAACATAACACCATGGCTTTACCTCTTACTTTGTTTTTATACTTTTCTGCTGGATGGTTAAGACCAAGGTAAAGCAGGACCTATGCAACAAGAGTTTTAGCTTCTGGGTCTGATAAGGTCAGT